GCTGCAAACCTCACCGAACTGCAAAGGATGTTGCCCGAGAGTGATGAAGGTGGTCCTCCAGTCAAAACCTATGGTAGCGCGGCTGCTAAATAGCTAGTACGTGTTACGTTACAGGCTGTCGTCTGAGCTCAGGCCGAAGACAATCAGCCATGTGGCCTGTAGAGATACGTCATTCAACGAATTAAACGCGATCGACACTATATAAAAACAATGCAACAGCGGTGTGTCCAATGAGCTTATACAATCTTTTGATGGCAGTGACCAGACACCTTACACTGTACATAGAAGATTACATGTGTGACTAATTACGCAGACGAGGATAAGGCCTCTAACACCTCACCAAGTACCCAGCAAAACAACAATTAGCCGCCGGTCACGCACTGGCCGGCGAAACCACACGTATGTGTTGCACAACCTACAAAACATCGCTTAAAGCCGGGAAACTTAAATGTATGTACATTAACGTCCAAGGGCTCATCAGTAAAAGTACTGAACTTCAGCTACTTCAGGTTGCGAATGCTTGAGACCTACTTTCCATTACCGAAATTTGGTTAAACCAAGAAGTGGTTGATTTTGACTTTGAGATCGCAGAAATATCACTCATCGGAAACGACCGCACCAGCAGAGGTATGCCCCTTCTCTACTACAGCAACGACTTGCAATGTGCAAAATTTGTTGATATGGAAACTCATGTTATCGACTCCCTCTGTTGCTGTCCGCGACTAAGACACGACGACGCCCCCAACCTCCACTCCGAAAATGAGATCCCGCTTGATAGTGTCTATAAATATTTAACACGCACTAGTTACAACCACAGTCTCACCTCCGAGGCTATTCATCTACAAGGTCTATAAGTATCGGCATCACCCAGTTCAAAGCAGACTTGCATGAATTTAGCGTTAATATTTCCTTGTGCAATCATGTCACGACACGCACTAGATGCATAACGGCAAACAAGCCGTCTGTATAGAATCTTGTGCTCATGAATTTCGAGCTCATGATTAACAAGTTGTTGACGGAAAATCCATCAGGTCTCAGAGACCATGCAGTAATAAGGTTTAACTAGCTTTGTTTTGCAAAGAAGCCACTTGAACACTCGGAACTAAATCATACGTACGCATGCCACCATGTCGTAACTGAACTAGTCAAGGCATCAGCTTGAGAATACTCGAACAACAATCCCATTGACAACAGTTGGACAAAGTTCGTGGAAAGACTCAGCGACTTGGTAAACAGAGCACATTTTCCGTCCTGAAAAATGCCTTTAATGCTAGATAGCAGGACTCAAGCTTACATGACGATAAGGGATGCAGCATGGCGTGCCTACAAGATTAACCCCGACTCGGAGAAGTTTCCTGACCCACCGCAACGATTGCATTGCGCTTGCTCGTGAGGAAAAATTAACTTCTCAACATTGTCTAGCCAATTGTTTCCTGGAAAACAACGTATTGTATAGACATATCAGCAATCTTTCTAAAGTAAAGCATGGCATCCCACCGTTTCCACCACTGGTGGTAGAGTATTAAGCGCTGAAGAAACAACTAATAACCTGCGACTAAAATACATCCTAATTTTTGAATTTGCAGCCACTTCCTAGCCCTTAAATTCAAGCACGTTACTGACGCCATGACTTACACATCCAATTTCCAACCCAGCATTTGTGCTAGAGAAGTTACTCTTACTGCATGTTAGAAGCTCTCCGGGCGCAAACAACAAAAGTCCGAGAGCAGTAAAGGCCAAGACCTCCAAGTTGGTTGAACTGTCACAGTTGCTCCAAAGGTGCTTCTATGAATAGCGATTCTCCACTATGTGGAAGCGTGGAATTATAACCCCAGCTTTTATAAGCGGTAACAGTTCAGATCCTGTAAACGATCGCCTAGTGACTCTCCTCCATGTGCTCGCGAAGATGATGGAAGCGGGCTTCGCTGGGGCTCTAATGGACTACCTGGAAAAATGCAACGTCATGGTACCGGAGCAGCATGGATCCGGTCAACACCGGTCGTGCACAACCGAACTGCTAATGGTACGAGGAAGTTGGACGAAATTGGCTGATTATGGAATCGGATTCGACATCATCTATTTGGAATTCTCCAAACCTTTCGACCGCTTTGATCAACTTATCCTACTTTATAGGCTACGGAGCTACGGGATCGGAGATCTTGTTCTTGGTTGGATGGGTAACTTTCTTCAACAACAGTTGCTTCAACAGCGTGTTAGTAAATCAAACTCTAACCAGATTAGGATGGAACATGTCCCACAGGGCTCGGTGCTGGGACCGCGCTTATTCCTCGTGTTTATCAACGCCCAGGCAAGAGTTAGCTCCTTAAATTTCCTGATTTTCGTTGATGACATCCAGGTATGGCGAGCGATTAATAACAATGATGATCACGATATACTCCAACATGACTAATATTGCATCTATGGATGGTCAGCAAGGAACCTACTACAGAGTAACGTAGCTAAGTTCAAGGTGATCCATCTGCGTTACCAGCCGGTGAGCGTTTACAAACTTAGAGTCCACACATTTGCAGGTGGTCTCTCAGGAGCGTGATCTGGGTGTACTCGTACAGGAAGATCACGGATGCTCAACACAAGCAGAGAAGACGTCGAGAGCCAGCACTCAACACATCAACCTTCTACGCAGAGCGTTCTGTCGCTTCGCACCCTCAAGCTTCCCCTAAATGCTTACCGCTCAAGTACGACTACATGTAGAATATGCTATCCAGGCCCGGCCGCCGTGGCAAAGACAAGATCTCGTTGCTCTCGAGACTCCTTAACGAAGGGCAACCAAGAAAGTTAGGGGCCTCTTTCATCTGCCCTCACAGCCTAGGCTGAAGTCTCTAAGATTGTACAGCAGTCGATATCGGCGTCTGCGGGGAACTCATAATGGTTTGCCAGATTCCAAAAACCCAAATCAGAGTTGCCGCGTACTTTGGAATCGAACCACTACACTAACCTAAGAGGTCATCCCCTGAAACTGACCACACAATATAGCTGACTTGGATACCTTAGAAATTTCATTCCCCTCTCTGTGTGCTAGCGTTGAAACGCTCACCCAAGTTATGTCATCTCTGCCCCCAATCTGGCGATATTTAAAAATGGAGCTGACAATGCGTTGTCTCATTTGTAATTCATTGTATAACGTATTGGTCAGGGGCTACAAGACGCAATCAAACGGTGTATTACAGAACTCCCATCAAAGGATTTATATAGTTTTAGTTTTTATGAGCGAACAACTCCGCTATTCTACCTAAGTCTATGGTAACTCCAACGAAACGGTGTGCACTCTGTCATGAAATTTTATTTTCGCAATAATTTCCATTTTACGGGACTTGTAAAGCATTGCTTTTTTTACCCATAATATACCTTTGTTCCATTGCTCCATATTGCAACCAAAGATAGATGGCACAATCCTAGTTAACTGAATGTCTGACAAAATTTAGGCAACAGATCCTTAGCTTTGCACTTCGGCTCTGTAAACGTTATATAATTATAGCACAAGCTGTAGTATGCTACGGTTCAGCTGTTGTTACTGAGTCGATAAGGTATTTGCGTCATGACAACCAAATAGATGACGTCAAGAATACAAAAGTCTAATAGATGATGCGTTGGATTAAACCAAAATACGGGAAGCGGAGGCTGTCTTGTATAGATAAAATAAGAAATATTGCTTCGTTTGGCTAAGATCTTATAAAACATATCTACAGAATTTCTTTGGATATTTTCTGTTTCAAGAAAGATAGTTAGGTGGAAGAAATATGTTATGAATGGCCTCAGCTAGGCTGCATGTGAAACAATATTATGTCCGGTAATGCGATGAGTGGTGAAGCAATTTAAATTCCTAAGCGTTAGGGAGAACAGCTCAGTAAACCTCACGCGGTGCATGTTAGCCTACAGGACTCCATAAAATTAGTTAACCTGGACAAACAGCCACCAATTCACGACAGTATTTTCTTCATATAACAGTCTCGGCTCTATTCGTATTCTGGCTAGAGTGATCCACACTGAAACTGATGGTTGCCTCCGAGGTGTACGCTAAGTTTGATTTGAATTTTGCTGTGGTCCTCTCACGCCTACACCTGGCTCATTTCTCTGCTCTAGGTTGTTTAAAGCGTTGCGATTGTTCTGAGGGGCAACTGATCATTACCTGCAGCAGCAGTAAGAGCATAGTTCTTGAAATTTCTTCAAGCAAACGCGTGCCGCAATTGTTGGGTAACATATCCACGAATTAATTTATTAACCTATCCATTGGATGTGTCTTATGTACCCTCGGAGCTTAATTATTCGCGTCGGATTTTTTGCCTGCCTGTGTACAAATGATGGACATGAAAAGGTAATAATGCATTTGTTCTTATGACGCACGATACCTGCCTAATATATGTATGTTCTCGTGATTTTCGTCAACTGAATCCAGGATAGACCGCCAGCTTAATGAATTAGGTGGAAAGATAAGTCTTTCGGAGTGTAAATGTGCTCTCCGCAACTCAGTGATCCAGCCTCAATCCATTGATTTCGCTGGATATGTCGAAGGTATAAGAAGTACAATTCGTACCACTTATTGGATTGTCCAATGTGTATTTAATCTATAGACAAGGTTTTAGGTGCTCTGAAAGAATACTTGGATTAGGAAATGTTAGTAATGCTACAGTTACATTAGCTTTGGTGGGAATACATGCACCGTTGCTAAACCGGACAACTAGTGAAAGATTCTCATCCTTAACATGTGATTTGTTGGTTTTTTGACCTCATCCAACAGTTTTGCAAGTATCAGCAGTTCAATTATACCAATGTTCTTGGCCGTCGGGCCTTTTACTGCTATAACTAGCTGAGGGGGCAATGGACCAATGAAATGCGCTTAATCACTCAGCTTCAGCCATATGGTTATCAAACCTCCAATCGCTATTGCTAGAGAATGAGACCTCATTACTGCCCTAAACAAGATTATCCGTATGGTTAAAGTATGCTTATTCTACTAAAATCAAAGCAGCAAAATGACTGTCATGAAGGTGTTCCTGCTTGGGTTGGTCCTGGTTGTACAAGTTTTGCAAACAATGGGTGAGTATCATACCAGAACTAGCAACACAATAACAAACATTACCTTAATATGAATTTATAATTGGATAGAATATATATCTGTCAAACATGTTCTATTCACGCGCTAAGAAGAAGACAGTGTCTTTTAACACAGGCGCCTCATCGAGATAAGTTCAGATAAATGGACCTACAACATTTGCGGGTATCCATAAGTAATCTGTTGCTAGATATGTTTGCTCCAATTACATCCACAACGTTAGGCCGGGAGTTGCCAAAACAGGATTAAAAAGGAATTTTGGTTGTGTGCTTACTGAAGCCCAGCCTATTATTTAAAAGTAACAGTCCAAATATTTTGTAGTAGAAAGCATCCTCACATTAGCATTCTTGCCTTGCGTTACCCGGTTTCATCAAATTATGACACTATGAAAGAAATTTAATAATTGTCTTATGCAAAACCTAGGTTTACTCATGCCCCATGACAGGAAATGATTTGGCTCCGCTTCGAAATTATTCTGGGATTCAACAGGTCTTTTTTATGAAAAGCAAGCAGAATAAATTCTTTAGGTTTTGTTCAGTTGGCTATCGATGCACGAGAGCATTAGAGAGCACAGACGAATTATGTTTCAATAATTTCCATGACAATGCTGTCAGTTATCGATTTCAAGTTAACAATTACATCACTGTTTTAAGCATTATGCTGGTGTACCCTAATAGTTCGCGTTATCAGTTTCAGTAATCTGAAAGAGAAATGTTTCCTATTTCTTTTTGCCAGAGTACACACGAACCAACTATTTGAATAAAACTATTCATGATTAAACTACGAACAAAGAAGTTAAGGAAATGTTTAACCTCAGCAAGTATTTCCTTAATCCGATGCGCAAAAACAATTAACGTATCGCGTTATTGCGGTGTCAGTGGTTATTGTATCCTTCACCGAATTAGAAGCCATAAGGGTGTACGATGCAAGAAAGCATAAAAATATGCAGCCTTGCTGAGGATTCAGTAAACGTACTGCCGACGCAGTATCGAAATAACACCGACAACCGTTTCCTATGCGATACTTTAAATTAGAGCATCTGTATGTGCCCATTCCAACAATTTCATGCTCGTAATGAGTTCATTTAGCACATACAACTTTGGTCTTCGCCCAGCTTCCTCAAAAAGCTGGCTGATTACAATATGTTACTGGACACTGAAGCACCAGTTTCATTTACTGTAGGAACCGCTGATCGCAGGAGTTCCACTAAACATTGAACGCAACGCAAATTGGTCACATTCAGCCAAGAGGCAAATACCGCTGATCCGTAAGCCACTCGATAAGGCCGTCAACCAAAACACGCGCTACTATTCTGAACCATGTTCCGTAACGGACATCTATCGCAATTTGGGTCAGGCCCGCTAATCTGGATACGACAGACGCCCACGAGAATGTATAGCAATATATATGTTCTATTTAAACAAGAAGATTGGTAGTTCATTACATTGACTTGAACGTGAGCCTGGAATCCACGTCCATGCTCTTGGTATGGTGATGGTTTAGGTAAAACACTCAGCTAACGGTGAAAATTCTGTCGAGTCCGCCTGTGTTATATCTCTGAAGGTAATGGTAGAGGCCATCAAATACTGTTCCTCGTCGTACCAAAGTTGGCTGTATCCACATGGTGAAAATGCAATCATACAATAATACTTCAACTTTTACTGTAACTTTCTTTACTGTGTTCAATCTCGACGGGGGATGTTCTAGTAGATAGTTTGCTCGGAATCTACCGTGGTGATCAATGATTTTGTTCAGATGAAACGCATGTTCAATTTGATGTGGTTAGTGTAAAAGTATCGGTTAACAGCAAAGAATGCACATAACTAACTGTTCACATTTTTCTTTATTTAGCTGCTATACCCGAGGTATGTTACAGTTTCAAACAATGAATCTTGCTCTCTCCGAACCTTTCAGGTTTAGACATTTTCAGAATGTGATGTTGTGCAAACATACCTACACACACATTGTAAACCTATTCGTAATTCCCAAATGTTAAGCATACAATTCGGCTTTCTAAAGGCTTTGACACCTACTGGTGTTTACCAACCTGATGTTCGATATTACTGCATGGTAGTACTCACATAGTGTTTGTCTAAACACAAAGAAAACATTTAATAATTACTGCTTAAGTCGGTAACAGCTAACTAAATGCAATAAACATCAGTAAAATGGATAACACAGGTATGAATGGACGCGGTATTACAGTGGAAAAACGAAATGCATTAAGAAATCTATTAGAAATTTTGTTGAGCCATTGCGGACAATTAATTATCGTAAAGTCCACATCATCAGATGTCGCATTTGTGGCTATTAGGTAAGATGAAAATCTTGCCCAGATCTATATATTTTTGCGCGCAATTTCACGCATGGTGCAAATAAGTTACGTATTAACATAACAAAGTTAATTTATTGTTCTTTCAATTTTACGAGGGCATCAATTCATTTGCTTCCTGAAGGGTTACCTGTACGCACTATCGGTGACAGTCTCATTGATCATGGGACATTAGCCAATGGGACTCACTGGATTTAAGCACAGGGTAAAATGTATGCGTCTATGGGAGACACGTATGCTCCCGAGTAGGCTGACATATTGCTGTTAACGGAAGGCGGACAGGGATGAGAGTGTCAATGATAGAGGTCACCAACAGTACGCCTGACTGTAGCTGGTCAATCTACGATGAGCTGTTTGAACTTTCTCCCTCAGCACCCCTTAACAGATCTTTTGTCGGAAAGAGTTACTATAGGTTCGTACTCTGATCCGGCCGGTAGCCTAGTCCCTGTGCCAAATGTCCAGCGCTTTTAGAGCATTCCGTGAGGTATCGAGAGCACACTATATGATGGTCCAACCTGCACAATGTCATTAGCACATTTAAGCCCCGTGTTATATTGCCTCTAGTCGAAACAATACACCGCACGCAGGTAACAATAGTAACAATAATAATAATAATATGTATCTTTCTCTTTAAGTGAAAAGTTGTGACAATATTTGTCACGGAACATACACGCACATTTGCTTCGTGATCTTGCAAGTGCAGCAGAAAGTTATCCACTTCCGTTTGTCTGCATTCCTGGCAAGGCATTTTTCCCACATGTCTGTCTTATGCGATGGTAGGAGGCAAGTTTGTAGTTTTAGTAGGTTGTAGACACTTAGGACAAATTACATCGCGTGAATTGGTGACAAAACAAACATTAGACATCATTTGGGATTTCACTGAATGAATGTTCAAATGATCATCCCCACGAAAATGCCGTCATAATGATGTCCAGTTAGAGGTAGCTATTTAACTTGGTGCAAAAGAATGACACAGTCATACGAGACCCGATGGGGAATGGCAACCGATTCTACAAGGAAGCATATAGAGCGAGACAAACTTTCGACCACAAATTTGTCTTGCATCGTGGTACAATCAGTGTAGGGTCTTTGTTACCTGGGTTTCGGGTATAATAGTGCTTCAATGTTAAGCTAAATCCATGTCAATAAGCATGTAGATGCGAGATCCTGTTCCGTAGAATGGACACATCCGTGTTACATTTATTTATGCTATCGTATGATCAGTCGGAAAATCTGAGCAAAATAACATCTTCGTATGAGTGAAAAATTAGGCCGAATTAGTTACTTAGTCTTGAACGGTTGATGAATTGCTACCTTTTACAAACACATCAGAGATGAGCAGACTGGGTAGCAAATGGAATGAAAGTGGCTGTGGGCCAGAATCTCATATGCATGTGTCCGTTTATAATAATAATAGATATATTTTCCTTGCTGAGAGTAATTTTGTCTATAGCGGCACAGATTAATTTGTACAGAAGAATGGATGCTCATGTATGTTTGAAATGCATAGGTGGAGTATTGGGATATGCGTTTCATTTATTAACATTCTGGTGCAGGGTTGAGGCCAAAGCCTAGTTATGAAAATATTGGTGTTTATGTTTTTCGGCCCCATTTGGAATAGCTCATCAAGAGATTTTTAATATGTGAATCTAGAGCTTAGGGTAGTTAGATCAAGATAATTGGCGAGTCGGCTACTAAATGTTGCCACCTTGTCACATGACCTGAGTGATATTCGTAGTTTATTCCACAAATAGCTGTATCCGAGCAGGAAGAAATTAGAGCTGATGTTCGTACTAGCCTTCGGTATATTCAATGTAAAATCTTTGTCGCAAAGCGCTCGAGATGAACAATGTTGTAAATTCACTGTAGGCAGGTTGGAATAAGTCTTGTTGTGTAACATGTTCAAAAGCAGCAACAAGTTGTGCTTCAATCGTCGAATCCAAAGTGGTTCGAGGTGAAGTTTATTGCAACGTTCTCGATAACTCATAGCAGAGCGTTTACCAGTCAGATGTTTAGTAAATGACCTCTGCAGCAATTCTGTCACTCACATGTTTCCATATATTATGATGCAGTATTCGAGGTTGGGGCAAGTGATTAGCTTGAAAAGCTCAACGCTAGCACGGGTTGTATGTATTTTGTTTGATATATTGAACATAGACTGTCTGTAAATTGCTACTTTGTATTTGGCCTGTTCAGAGAAATTGGAGGTAGGCGAGTACCTAACGCCAAGATCTCGCGTGGACAACTGTGTAAAGACGCGTTCATTGTTTAGGGTGATGGATCCTTCGGGGATGTAGAAGCCGTAAGACATGATGCTTGATTTCTTAGCCGTGAGGTTCATTACCCATGTGCAGCGTTATGACTCAAGGGAATGTAAATCATCTTAAATGAGCAGTAATTTTTCGTGAAGCTCGTCACGCCGAAACTTATAGACTCATTTGATATAGTCAGCAAATAAAAATAATGTACCATGTTTTACAGATGTGACGTCATTTATGTAGAACAAAAAGAGTAAAGGGCCGAGCACGCTCCCTTGAATGACTGCACTGGTGATTGAGCCTGGGGAGGAGTGATAATCACCTAAAGTGGCCACATGACGATGATCACCCAGGTATGACGGTAGCCAACCTAGGAATAGGTCCCGCATCACAAAGTTCCCTAACTTCTGTAGCAGTCGCTTGTGCGGTACTCTGTCGAACGCTTGATGTATGTTAAGAAACAAGATTACCACAGCATAGTCGGAATCAATTGATTCTGAAATGTGATTAAGGTAATGCACTTGGCAGGTGGTTCACGATCGATTATTGAGAAAATCATGCTGCAAATTGTTGATCAGGCCAATAGAATTAACAATTTTCATCATCGCCATTATGACCAGCTTTCGAATAACCGAGCGATTATCGGAGAGTGGTGGATTGGTCGGTAGTTATCAATCGTTTGTTTGGGACCTCCTTTAAGCCGAGGCATGATAAATGACGTTTTCCATTGGTCTGGAAAGTAGCCAGATCCCAGCGATAGAGTGAACATGCTCACCAATAGCAATGGTATATCAGGTCCTCCTAGTTTAATGGTGATTGGTGAAATGTCATCAGATCCCAGCTTGGAAGATGGCCTGCTAACTTGATAACTGATGGATAGTGTATTTTCGGTAGGTTGAAATCGCCCCCGATAATCTTCTGGCTGTGTGGCAACTTTCATGCGAAGGCAAATGCAGAAGGGATGTTGGTGAAACTCGCCTTAGACGCATTCGGTGGGTTGTAGCTACATGCGAGCAGTGTGTAAGGGGATACCCCCGCAAATGACAGTCAAAAAATGGAGGGAGATTTGTACAATATATGTATTATACTAGATATTGTCAGGCGCCATAAATCTTGTCCTTGCAAAGTCATCCAGGGAACGTGATATCCTATATATCCGTGTATTGAATTGTCAACTGCCCGTTAATCACATATGCAACATTTATTGACATTTTTTGACAGTCATTTCAACATTTTAACGACTGAATGTGAACGTTGGGCAATTTCCAAATAACCGTTTATTTGTAGCTAGTCAAGACATTGGCAGGCTGCGACTTAGTTCTTTTCCGATACAATGGTATAGCTAAATTGTACGACGGGTGAGTGTATTGTAGCCGACTGAGAGTAGGTAGTATTTTGAATTGGCTTAGGAAGTGGCCACTACATACCTCTTTATATTTTTCAACTGCAAGCTGACTCACCCTTTCATTTTGTAGGAAGTGGCCAGGTCAAATGACTGAAAGCAGGCTAATGTATGCAAGTGTTAAACAAACGTTTAGCATAATAATATTAATATCAGTAATAATAGCAATGTTGTGTTTCTACAGTTATGCGAAATATGCACTTTCCGGCATGATCGGGATTTCGCAATCATGTTACACAATTACAACCACAACGAGGAACATACGCATCTCAATAAGGAAACTGCTGTAGCAGGTTGTAAAGAGAAAAGGAAACATTCAGTCTCAACCACCTTAATACGGCCACCCTTAGAACCGTCCAATAAGAATCTGCTTCTATGCAGAATAGTCCCCATTCTGGTTTCACTAGCACTTCCACTTCAGTGTGCACTGAATTGTGGATTAAAAGCTTGCACGCCATGACGCTGATATTTATTTTCCGGGGCATTATTATTTGCGAATAGAATTGACTCCACAGCCTTATCCGGTTATGTTCTATTGCGAGTTAAATGCATGCTGGTCATCACCGCCTTTAGATTTGTGTTCCCTTATTGACCATTCGGCCTATTTGATTCGTCTGTATATGGGAATTTCTATTTCACCGCCATCGCGTTTCAAGTTGCATTGCGTTGCGTTGGTAAATTAGTCATCTTAAACGCTTCATAGTCTTAATTCTATGCTTACATTAGTTCTTGAGCAAAGATGAAAAAAGTGAAAAATAAGATGAACAGTAATAACATAGTTATGTAGTTCGTGATAACATGTGGCATAACCCCTTGAATGAGTTCGTTCGGTGGCTACTAGCTTACTACTTGTGATGATCTATAAATCACACA